TATAGTCGTTCATTTTACTGCGAAGTGCACCAGTTCCTGTCGGAAATATTGTTTTATAGGCGTTTTATTCCAAAAACCTTCCCAAAGAATTTTGAATGTAAAAACCCCGCTGCAATTTTTCCCCATACACTAGATATCATGAGACTGATGCAATGCGTTTGTGATGACAAACTGAGCATATCATAATAACGGTCACTGATCCGTTCGTGTATGCTGGTAGTCGCAACTGGCCTCAAGTCTGTTCAAGTAATACACGAACTCACGCAACGGAAATTAATGAGTCGCCGTTGTAAACGAGTCTCTAGGTCCCGAGCAACTGACTGACAGTCGTAGTTCCGGTGTGGTCTGTATGGGTCTTCCTAAAACAGAGCTGCAACGCTTCTGACTGTTCAAAATAACGTCTTATACAAGGACATTGAACAGAAAAATCTAGAAAAAACTCAGAACTTTTGAACATCATTATTTCCAACTGCTCAACAAACTTTAGTTATTTCGCGCGATTCCACAAACAGCTTTGTTGTGCTGGTAATTAGGAAGTTTTTCATATCATTACTCAGTGCAATTTTCAAAATAACAAACACTTTCTGACGACCTGATTACCTAGATTATCTCCCGGGAGGTTTTGCTTCTACCTCTCCAGGACTTCGTCATCAGCAGTTTGTCTGAAAAGGTCCATTTGACTGACTGCTGTTAAAGTGAGGCATCACTGCAAAACATCCACTGTTCTTGGCTAGTCCCGAATTCCCCAGCCGGTGAAGCGAACCATTTTTGTTTAAGTTTATCCGGATGATTTGAGCGCCACGAGGCGCAGATCATCGGCAAAATGAATAAAGACGAAATCTTCATAGTGATGACGATGTGTGCGGTCCAGAAGGGCAATATTGCCACAAAACGCTTCTAGTTAGGTAAACATATGACGTTGATGCTAATTATGATAAATGTACGCCTGATGATACAGTTACTGGGGACCAAAATGGAAGAATTTTCTAGGGCACAAGCTCATCAATTGATTATTTTGTGCGGTATTAAACTACGAAATCAGGTTTTTAGCGTGTGATTAAACACGAGTGCCATTTTTCAGCTTTTATAAGCAATTCAGCTTGGCATAATTCCGCGGTCATCAGATTGTTCACCTTACACCCTCGTGCAGTTCACCTGCATCAAAGTTTTGCGTGCATCTGCATGCTTTTAACTTATTGTTATCTACGTGACGTGCTCAAAAACATGTGGCGAGTAGTACCGTGAGCAGCTGAACAAGGACAGATCATCAGCATAATACGGTCGAACTAAGAATTTTCTGAAGTTGACAAGTAAGATGGTGATCAAAAACATTGTAACTTTGAAGCAAGACAAAAAGAAGGCAAAAATATTACAATCACTAGCCTGCGGAAGAAATTGGCGAATGTCAAGGGAATTCAAACAGAAATAAACTTGTGTCACTAAATCTTCGTTGTTCTGGAGAAACGCATGCTTCAACAATCTATTCTGAAACAAGTTCTAAGCTCATTGTGAGAAAAAGACCCGCGTAAACCAAGTACATTCGATGTAACGTTTCAGCGAAATTCACTGCCAGACAAACGCTTTAATCGCAACATTTTTCCAACATGCTGATAATCGTGAGACGTTTGTGTTTTGATGACAACTTCAGTAGGACGCTTGAAAAACTCAAAAATCATCATTCGTAAATATGGCCACACAAATCCGGAGCCAGTGACAGACAAGAATATGAGAAACTGAACGTCTGGATAAATTTTGAAGACAAACATGGTATATATAAAGATTCCTGGGCTAAGCTGCAAACTAAAATACACTGCCACTTTACTTTCATACGAAATTGTTTAAGCCAGTGATCAGTTGCTCCTGGCTTCATGCAGATAAAAGCTTTGAGGCAACATACTGCGGCTGACATGGTAGAAGGATCTATCGCGAGTTTCATCTAATCACTTTTGGTCAGTAAGGGATTGGTAAGGTAGTACTACCCTCCGATGATTTCGAAGTAATTGGTACGACAGAATATGTCTTTCCAATAATCGTTTTACTCCTTCTACTGTTATGGGCAACTTCATCCAGGATTTCACAAGCTACTGAATGAGGACCAAGTAAAACATTGTTTGAGTCTGCTGTCATATCTCCTGATTACTGTGCTCCTGAGATCGGTCAGATCAGTCCGTAATCAGATGTGATTAGCATATGTGTGCATGTGGCCAGATGTGGGCTAGCTCTGTGTGTGTGTCTATCCGTGGTTATATTATTTGATAGGGT